ACATAGTTAGGTTCATATACTTGTTTATATGCACCTGTATATTGTGATTATAGATCTTATTTATTACTAAGTACTTCTGAATGAGTTGCAATCGCTCCTCATTGAGATAAAACATTTTCTTTACTATTTACACTTTGCCTAAACAAAGTATTTAACCACTTGATGTAATGGAATAACCTGCCACCCCCATGAGTGCCAGCACTATAGGTATTAACCACCTATAAGTCTATTTCCCATTATGTTACTGCTTTACAATGTTCTTACCAAAACATTGTGAATATGGCAATAAAGATAAGGATAACAATCCAAATAATGCAAATGATGTAAGTAATCATAATACCTCATTTCAGAGATATAGACAGACTAGCAGTAGAGCCCAGCATTGCCCGGGGATGTAACAGTAAGAGATAGATCAAGTACTGACCATCATAAAGACTGAAAAATAAAATTGACAAAGATAAGGTTGATGGACACACATGTCTTAATTAGATTTTTTTTTTTTTTTTTTTTTTTACGAATTGGTCACACCCAAACTCAAACAAAAACATTGTTTTCAATCGTTATGAGTCTACCGATTGAATAGAATTTTATTATAAACAATTGTTTTGTAAATGGAATTTTTAATGCATTCTGAATGTAAAAATAAAGAAAAAAGTGTGCAAAACAATAAGACATAAGTTTTGTTGAAATCGATTGAAAAATGTAGGAAATCCGATCCCATATATAAATGAACACACACGCACACACAAACAACCTGGGTTTTATAATAAGTATAACTCAATGTGAGTTGTCCCCCTTTCATTCTCGCGATGCTTCTTAATCGTGTTTTCAAACTGATTTTGTGCAAAAACAATTGTGTTTTTCCAATTTTTGGCATTGTCAGAACCACTGTAAGGTAATTTTATGTAGTCCTGTGAAGTTTTGTTGAAATCGGTTGAAAAATGTGGGAAATCTGATCCAATATATAAATGTACAGACACACACGCACACACAACCTGGGTTTTATAATAAGTATGATATCATTTAGTTGTAATGTAGATATTCAGTAATGTACAATATAACCTTTTTTATATATTTTTATTAATTGTGTGGTAGTTTAGTCTATAAAACTGTTCAAAACAAAATGGCTGCACTCATAAGAGATCGCTGTCAGCATCTAAATGCTTAACAAATAGATGAAATTTTTCAGATTCAGAAGAATTACTTGATGAAGAAAATGAAGGATACTCTTTTGCCAATTCATGGAAATCCTCGGAAGTTGAGGAGGGCCAAAGTGATGATAATTAGTCATACCACAAAAATAATAATTGTGCGACTTGTGGTGGATGTAGAATGGTCATTACACAGAGGTAGCAATGTATAACAATGCAGTAGAGATGTTTGCCAATACTTTAATAGCCTAAAATTATTTAGTTTAAAGGTCTATTTTATCCTGTTATTTAAACTCTGTAGATAACATGTTTCTTTCTGCCAACAAAAATATCAATATTGGTTTACTCTTCAAAACATTAATTCCTCATAACATATTATTATCATTAGTAATGTCTAAATTCATTATGGAAATCCTATAATCCTCAATAACTCTATTTGAGTTAAATTTTTAAATAGTTACAACATTTTTTATTAAATCTATTGGTTAAATTATAAAAAGTGCAGTCTGAAGTTATTATGCAAAGCTACAAAATCATTCTTTACTTCAATAACAAAGTAATAAAATCAACAATTGATCAACACCTACACTAAAACAAACAGCGAAAATATGATGTTTTTCAAGAATTTACATCTTAATAAGTGCAGAAATTTAAATATCTAGGAAGTATTTTAACAGCGTATGCAAAATGTGAAACTAAAATATGAAGCCATATTGGTATAACCAAGCATTCCAAAAGTAGAGTGCTAAAAAAACAGAAAAAAAAATTACTAAACTGTTATGTGATACCTGTCCTCCTGTATGGTAGTGAATGCTGAACAATCTTGCCAAAGATGAAGAAACTTGAAGCAACACAAATGTGACTCTACAGAAGGATGCTAAGGATATCATGAACTGAACATGTGAGAAACAACAAAGTTTTAGAGAAAATGGAAACAAAAAAGAAAGTTATCCTTAATATCAGGAAGAGTTAGATGATGTTTCTAGTGGACATAATGAGGAAAGAGGACTTGGAAAAACTGATACTCACAGGACAGATAAAAGGAAAATGAGACAGAGGAAAACAATGCTTAATATACTTAGTGAGCTTGAGGAAATGGCTGGTGGAACAATGGACTGAATATGTGAGCAACTACAAAGTTTTAGAGAAAATGGAATCAAAAAGGAAACTCATACTTAACATCAGGAAGAGACAGTTGACGTTTATGGGACACATAGTGAGGAAAGAAGGCTTGGAAAATATGATACTCACGGGACTAATAGAGTTCAAGAGAGACTGAGGAAAACAATGCATAACATACTTAGCGAGCTGGATGGTAGAACAGGGTTTAGGAGAAATAATAGAAAGACTCTCCACAACTTCCTGTCCATTGTAGCTCATAATAAACTTTATGAACTACAAGGGACAGGAAGTTGTGGAGAGCCATTATCGCCTACATCCTGATGTGTCATGGCACATAAAGAAGATAGTCATCATTCTTCTAACTAACAATCAGCAATCCTTTGATTTTGTTTAATTTTTTACTTTAGCAGGTTGCTGGTTTTAACTGATTCCCATAGTCTGCTTTGTGGTCATATTGTTTGCTATATAATTTCATCATTGCAATTGACCACATATTTTTGACTTGATGTTGGCCATTCCATTATATTCTCTCCTGTAAACCTTTTACACTAAAAAAATTAATGGGTAACCTTAAATACATGAGAAGTAGCATTTTTGTGTATAAATACACACTTCTCTTTGAAACTGCGTGGCTGAGGCTTTTATAATTCAAAGAAAATCTCATTCATGAAATTGCAGTTTTTAGTACTGTTCAATTTCACTCCATAAATTTTGAAAGGTCCAATTATGGTTTGGTCACCAATTACAGCCTATATAATAACATTCCCACCTCCTTACTGCTTTGTATTAGGCACATCTGCATCAGATAAAAGCCATACTTTGTCCCATTCATCAAGTCCATTTAGTGTCACCTGAGACTCATCCATGAAAATAAATTTAGAAAAGTAAGTTTTCATGTATTTCATAAAGTTTTAAAATATTTGCTTTATTGAGAAGAGTTTTCCTAGGAGATTTCTTGACAGATTCCAATTTACGAAATATTCTACACCTTTTATTCTTCTTGTCTCCCACAATTTCAACTTGTTCAAAGATCTAAGCATTGGTCAAAGGTGGTTGTTTCACTACAACTCGCTTTCGTTTACATTCCCCTTGAGGAGACAAGTTCCTTTTCCCTTGCTTTTAGTTCACAACTTAGTTATATTTTCAACAGCATTCTTTATTGCTCGATGATCTCTGTGAAGCTCTTTCAATATCTGCAGTGTGAACATTCCGTCACTCAATAATTTTACTATTTTCTATTTGTCAGCATTTGTTAGATCCTTTCCATTACCAATGTTTCAACATATATGATGGAAAAAAGTAGCTTCTATTAGATTTTAGAGGCCTTAAAACTAATGTTAGTTTAATCGGAAAGATAAATCTGTTTTTGTAAATTCTAAATATCTCAAAATATAAACATCAAAAGTAGATAAAGATTTAGTTTAAGATTTTACCGAATAGACCAGTTTAAATTTGACACATTAGTTTTTAACTTTTTGAATTATTGAAGTTCATGCGATTTACAGTGTTATATTACCTAGTCAGTCATTTATGTGTCATGCGTGATACATACTTAGGTGATCATGTATCTTTTGATACATGACTAATGAGGCAGATTTTTTCCTGCAGTAGGTTACTATTTCTGCAGTAGATCAGTTGCCATCCAAGGCTATAGAACCAGGTCTGTCCTGCTATTTACCCATAGCTGGGGGGAGAAGAATAGGATTTATACTATTCCCAAGGTTATTTGCATGTAAGTGAATATAATGGATTTGACTGGAATTCAAACTTGGCTCTCTGATTCCTCAATCCAAGCCGTTATCCATTACTCCACTGAACCTCCTATTGCCTAGTAACCTCCTTTAATAGAACTTTCAGGATGTAAGGGACAATTAACTCTTTTAGTTCTAATAATAACCCTTTGCTCATTGTCTTATCTCAATGCCTAAGTCAAGAAGAAAACAAAAAAATGATGTCAGGAGTAAAGGTCTAGAATATAAATGAAAACAAAACATGGACCTTGCATGAAAAAAAAGTTTCTTGTTGCCCGAAATGAATATACTTTAAACAAATATATGACAACAGCATGTACGTGTCTACTGCTATTAAGATAAGAAGTTTAAAAATTCTTGTTGAACTTTTCCTCACTCACACCTTGACATGACAACCTTTAATTCTTCCCCACCAAGTTTTGACTGAACCTAGGGAAGGAAATGGGAAAATTTGCACAAAAAGCAATGTTATATTTCAACAGGCTACTCTGTGATGCTAGTGACAATGTCAAAATTAACTACTTATTAATTTGGGCATGGGACAAAGGCCAGAAAATCAGGAAGACCTTTGTCTTTTATTGAGATGAAGAGAGAAATGTGGAAAGAAGTATATAAATTTAAAGCTTTTATGAACTTTTGAGTTTTCCAACATGAACTGAGATATCAACAAGAGGCTAGCAAGTCGATACACGCCTTACTAAAGAGGCTCCAGCAATAAATAAAGTTATGCGAATATGATTGCAAATTTGAGGAGACCATGTTGGTGAATCACTTTATATTTGGAATACATCTCAAATCAACACAAATAGCCCTACTAAAAGAAGGAAGGGATTTAACAATTGTATCACCTCTGAAAGTAGCAGAAACAGACAAAATTACAACCAGAAAACTCAAAGCTAGTTGTACTCCTAGAGAAACAATGAGCATTCATGTGATTAAAAACAAAGAGGCAGCACTGTGCCCAGTGAAGCATAAAATGTGCATGAAGTGCAAGAAAATTGGCCTCTTTGCACATGCATGCCTCTCAAGTGAAAAAGAATAGAAATGCTAATAAGTTACCTTGATACCAAAAGAAAGACAAGTGGCACCAGAAAGTGCATATGTTGACACAACAGAGCAGCAGTGGTGACGGATGCGCCAATAACAAGTATTTCCACATGGTGGAAACAAAAGACACAGACAGAAGAGAGCTACCCAATAATGCAAAAGAGGCATACATAAAAGTGAGGGTAGAAAACAAAATAAAACAGGCAGAGGTAAATGCCAAAATGGATGCTGGAGCCATGAGCAAACTCCTACTACTTGAAGTATTCAGAAAACTACAGGGTGTGCAGCTAGAAAAGACTCCAGACTATTTGCATTTGGGGGTACCACAATAAAACAAGCAGGTGCATGTTTCCTCAGAGTGAGGCAAAGAGACACATTCACCAGTGCCACATTCCATGTGGTGAAGACATCCCAAAAACTAGGCTTGGTGACATTCAAACCTAGTAGGACAAACAGACGATCCTAATAGAGTGGAATCCTGGAAAGATTGGAAAAGACCAAACAGTAAGAAAGAACTACCGCCTAAGTAAAATTTCACAACATAGGAACAGATTTGAAAAGAATTCCCCAATGTATTTGATGGGATAGGATGTCTAGAAGGGGAATATACAATAAACAAAGATCACCAGTCATCCACCCACTATAAAGAGTTCCAGTATCACTGAGGGACAAATTTAATGCTGAATTGATCTCCCTTGAGAAGTAGGGCAACATATCAGCTATCACAAAACCCACCTCATGGATAAACTTTTGCTTATCCCCTAGACCTGGAATGCCAGTGAAAGACATTGATCTCAATATAAATATACTGAATCAACATCCCAATGCATCTCCAACACAGCTACAGAATATAAACGAGGAAACTGTGAAAGATCTTACTCTACATGAGTTAACAAAAAGTCATCACAGCAGGATGGCCATCAGATAGAAGCAGCTGCCGACTCACTCTCTTGCCCTAATGGAACTTCAGAGAAGAAATAGGAATACAGGATGGTATGCTATTGAAAGGGAACAAGATTATAATACCAGTATCACTCCAGTGAGACATACTACAACAACTACATGCTTACCACCAGAGGAACAAGAAAACAAAGCTAAGAGCAAGAACAGCAGTATACTGGGCAGAGATCAATTCAGAGACATCAATGACATGGTCAAAAAATGCCCAACATGCCAGAAGCACCAGTCAAGCCTTTGCATGGAGACACTACTCCAACATGAGATCCTATACTACCCCTGGCATAAGTACTGATCTTTTTCTTTCCTATGGAAGGCAATGATTACAGCTGATCAGTTTAACAAAAGATTGTTTGTAAGACATGTCCATTTTACTACATCTGCAGCAGTAATAAAACAACTGAAGCAACAGTTTGAAAGCAATGTGTTTGGTACAGAATTGTGAAGTTTTTTTGTATCTACTGATTTTAGTAGGATTTATTTGTAGGTGTCTCTTACTTGTTTTGTGCTTCATTTATTGGTCGTAAAATATGAGTTTATATACTCTACATATAAAGTACTAGCCAACTCATCTTGAATAAAGAAATGGAGATGTTATATTACCCAGTAATCTCTCTTAATAGAGCTCTCTGGAAGTAAGGAGCAATTAACTCAGTTTCTTATAATAACTAACCCTTTTCCATTGTTAACAGTAATGGAATAAACATGTGTCTAGCTCACTTGTCATCTTGTCTCGATGTCTAAGGCAACCAGAACAAAAAAACATTCAGGGTGCAATGGATCAACTGTAATCTAAATTATGCAAAAATGGAAATAATACTGACATCTTATTTTAACAAAAATCACGCAAAAATATCTTGAAATATGAAAGAGTAAATTGATTCAATAAAATCACCATTGACTTCAATCACAGCCTCCAGATGACTTCAGAAACTCCTGCAACTCTTCTGGATGGTCTCCTTGTTTAAGTTATTGAATGCTGCCATTATCATTGCCTTCAATTCATCTTTGGTGTTTTGTTGCTTTCTCACTCAATAGCACATATAATAATCAAGGGGGTTGCAGTCTTAGGAGTTAGGTGGCCAGATGCAATGGATGATGTGGTCATACAAATTGTTTGACAGCCATGACTGGGTTCTTCTGCTTATCTGGCATGGTGTAGAGTGCTGTTGCCAGAGAGTCTTCCAGCAGCCACTCTCTTGACCTAGTGAAGCATGATGTAAGCCTCCTTGTTGAGTTTGAGGCCCTCACCAACAAATTTATGTGTTCTTTTCTTATCAGAACAATCAGAGAAGGTATTTTGAGCTACTGTAACTTCATAATCACCATTAGAGTCATCCAACTCTTTCCAAATCCTCTGCACTGTCCCAGATTGACACCCAAACACTCCAAATGGTTTACATCGGAGATTCCTTCAATGCCAACCATTAGAGCATGCTGTTACCAAATTTCTGGTGGAATGAATTTTGTCATGTGCTCTTTTTCTCACACATGTTGCCCAACTGACACCACCATACTGTGCCATGAACAAAATCAGAAACATACAATGCACATACACGAAATTACAAATATAAAATGGCGACAATTTATCCATCGCATCCTGTATAAAATACCTTCAGATGGGCATAATATACATTTCTTATTAGTCCATACACATGATTCAGTAAACATTCTATCAGATTATATATTTAAATCTGTTAATTCTTTAGAAATTACTTTCTTTATGTTTTATGTATGAAAATAAAGTTAGCAGGTATGGACTTCAAAATGTCTGAATAAGAGATGTGCATTGATATTTTCTGTGGCTGAGCTGTCTAAAGCACACCTGGCTTACAGGTGGATTTCTCAACATGAAGAAGACACAGGCCTGAGCCTGTCAAATGGCAGGTTTTCTTTAAGACTCTAAAAGGCTCAGATGTCAATTACATTGATTACAAAAAATGAAAAAAGACAGAGCTCTTTACTCAAACATGCATATTCACTAAATATAATATCTCGTGCTGTAAATGTAACAACTATTATGGGATGGAGGTATTACATTATATTATTTTACAATTTCTTTCCCATAATAGTTGTTATATTAGCATACATATTTCTGTGTAGTAAATGTACAAACTATTATGAGGCAAAGGTGGTATTATTTTTATTATTATTATTAGTAGTAGTAGTAGTAGTATTATCATTATTTGTCAAATTATTTTAGGGATATTAACCCGGCAGCAGGAAATCTTTTCAGTCCTGAATTGCTCTAACAAAAATACACCAACCAACTGAAAATCCTCCTTAGAGAAAAGCAACAAGCTTAAATTGAGCTATTTGGACTGAACCCATCTGTACCAGCAGGTGAGATAGGTTAATCCAGAAAAGTATTATTTCTTATTACCTGAAAAATATAAGGTCAATCCCTATGCAGGGTAACAAATATTGTCCCTATAACTTAACATTATTAAAACTTCATTTTAAGCTTACAATCACACCAAGCAATGCTGATGACTTTTCAGTATCAAATTAATTTTTTTATGAAGTTAAGATTCTGGCTGATACCCACACATTCTAATTATTAATATTAATTAATTAATAATAATTATTTATTAATTATTAAAACATAAAAATACTTTACCTCAGTTATTTAAGTAATAAGCATGCTTCCCATTGTGATATGACATTCAATGTATGTATGACTTGATAGTCTTTTCTGAAATTCCAGAAAAGAGGAAGCCCCACAAAACAAGGAACTCTACCAAATGCCAAACCCTCTCCTGTAGCTGATGAGGAAACAAATGGCTCTTCCATATAGGCGTTGCTCACCATCTGAGAGCATGCAACAGACATGGAAGATTATCTGAGATTTTTGTTTATGAAGCCATAATGTTAAGCATTCAACACATTGACAAAATTTAAAATTTTTCTTTTTTTTTTAATCAGTTCAACCTAAGCAAGGTAGGAATGCTACTGAGCTTGATATAAATATTCAGTGATTGCCATTAGCACATCAGTGGTAGGCCTGGCAAAACAGAAGGCATATTATTTGTCAGAGAGTAGTTTGTGAGAGGTAAGATGCTAAACCACTTCAACCTTGAATACTTAACTGAAAACTAGTAGGAGACGAATAGGGTGATAATTAGAGGGGGTCAGAATTCTTAAAAACAGGAACTACAGAGGAAGACTTCCAACAAGATGGAAAGCAGGAAACATTGAGGCAATAGTTGTAGAGTTTGGAGAGAAGAGGAGCCAGCTCAGGAGCACATTTTCTTAGAACAATGGCTGGGATCCCATGACCTCCACTTGCTTTATGGGAGTCTAATTTAGAAATGATTTCTGAGACCAGTGAAGGGGTTCTGAACATATAATTCAGTAGAGCCTCTTTTCTATTGGTGAAATTATTAATGGTTACTCCAAATTAGTTGCGTGTTGAGTTGGAAGAGAATTTCCAAGCAAAGCATTCTACCTTATCTGCTGGAGATGTAGGACTTTGAATTGATTGAATAGAGTAGGGATTGAGGATTCGCTGTTCTTCAGCACACTCTTGCAGAGTTAGCAATAATTTCCAGAGAGATACTATATGTTATTTCATTCTATCTGAAATCAGTACCTTCCCTTTTCTGAGGATTTGCTTGCACTTGTTATAAGCAGAAACAAAGTGTCACTTTGGTCGATTCAGAAGTAGTGATTCCTGTGGGCAATAGTGACTGAGCATTCAGGTAAGAACTAAAGAGATGAACGCTATTTAAAGTGGTATTTCCTTATAGGAATGAAAGTATCAATGCCAGCTTTCACCCAGGAGGAGACCACAGATGTGCATTTTTGAAAAGGATGATTAAAAACTTCATTCCAAAGGAAATCACAGAATGAGTACCAATCTGCTCATTGATAACACAAAGATATTAGAAGGTTCTTAGCCAGTGGGGTAGTGGAACAAGAGGTTTACTGACACTACTGCTTGATCAGAGTTGCCAAGCGGGAAAGAGCTGCATAGTACGACATGAGTCAAAGATAGAAGTAAAAAAGAGATCTAGAAGAGTAG